CACACCTACAAGAAATAGACAATCTATAGTCATAATGAGAGGTTTTAATATGCTTCTCTCAGTAACTCTTATAATTAACAGATAAAGACTCAGTAAGGATAGAGATATGAAACGCAGGACTGACAAACAATCTAATGGACATATATAGATACTGGATACAACATAGGCAGAATTCCGACTGATTACACAGGAAATAGCTTCAAAAAATGATCAGATTTTATGTCATAAAGCAAGTTTCTGCATATTTTAAAATAATGAGGTAATACAGAGTATGTTCTCTCATCACAATATATCTAAGCTAGAAATCACTAAAGAAAAGACTTCAAAAGTCATATTTTGGAAATTAAACACTATACTTCTAAATAACACATCAAAAAAGAAATGAAAGTATAAATTGGAAAATGTTTTAACTGAATGATAATGAAAACGCTACATATCAAAACTGGTGAGGAACAATCAAAGTTGAGCTTATTGAGGGAGACTTCATTATTTTAATTGCAGATAGAGCAATATAAAAGAGGAAAGGCTAACCACTCAATGAATTAAGAGTTTATTTCAAGGAGACAGAAAAATAACAATAAATTAAACTCAGATGGAAGTAGAGGAAAGGAAATAAAATTAAAATCAAATATATTCCTCTGATTCCTTGATAAAGCTATTCAAGGAAAAAAAAAGCAATAACCAATGTTAAATATAAAAATAAAACCCTTATGATAGGCCCTGCAGACCTATAAAATTAGAATGATATATTAACTTTGTGTAAGTAAACTTTAAAATATAAATGAAATGGATCAAGTCCTCAAAAATATTACATGTAAAAATTGACAGAATAGAAAATTTTAATAATCTTTCTACTATTTAAAAATTAAATTTATAATGGAAAACTTTACAATAAAGAAAACTCCAGGTTTTTCACATTTAAGGAAGAAATTATGGCAATCTCACACAAACCTTTTCAGAGGACAGGAAAGATGGCTACCATTTACCAGCTCATTTTAAAGGGCCAGAATAACCCTGATATAAAAAATGACAGGAAATTCCAAAAAAGGAAAAATTAAGGCTGGTCTGATTTTTTAATGTAGGTGCTAATATCCTGAACGTCAGATTAGCAAATTTATCCACTAATATCAAAATGGGATTTTGGTGCTCTACTCTGAACTGAAGAGCCAGAGTCACACTTTACCTACTGTTTTTTCCTGAACTTCAAGAGAAATGCCTTTTATCAGTTTTTGGTAAGTTGGTTAAAAAAAATAAAATGAGCAAACCATATGCAGTAATATATTAAAAGGCCAATACATATTGTGCATATTCAGAATGCAAGATTGGGTTAAGATTTGAAAATCAGTGCAATTCGCCACATTAGTAGAATAAGAAAAAATCTTCTGATTATTTTGGTTGATTTCAACAGATGATGTTGATCAAATTTATAATAAAACTCTTAACAAACTAGGACTAGAATTTTCTTAAACTGAAAAAGGATATCCTTCCCAAAATAAACTTCAACAAATATCAGATATAATGGTGAAATATTGAAAGTTTTCACCCTGGGACTGGGACCAACACAAGTTTATTAGTTTTCTAGGACTGCCATAACAAAGGACCACAAATCGGGTCACTTAAAACAGAATTTTGTCTCACAGTTCTGGAGGCTAGATATATGAAGTAAAGGTGTTGGCTGGGCCACATTCTTTCTGAAGGGTTTAGGGGGATCCTTACTTGCCTCTTCCTAGCTTCTGGTAGTTGCCAGCAATCCTTGGCATCCCATGGCTTACAGACACATCACTTTGCTCTCTGCCCCTATCTTCACACGGTATTTTCCTCAGTGTTTGTCTCTCTCTATCTTTTTTTATAAGGACACCAGTCACATTGTAGTAAAGTATACCCTACTCCAGGATGATATTAAGCTTAACTTGATTACATCTGCAAAAACCCTATTTCCAAATAGGGCCACATTTACAGATAATGAGGTTTAGGACTTCCACATATCTTTTGTTGGGACATAATTTAACCCCAGGGATCCCCAACCCCCGGGCCACAGACCACTACTGCTCTGTGGCCTGTTAGGATCTGGGCTGCACAGCAGGAGGTGAGCGGAAGGCAAGACAGCGAAGCTTCATTGGTTTTTACGGCCACTCCCCAGAGCTAACATCACCGCTTCAGCTCCACCTCAGATCATTAGGCATTAGATTCTCATAGGAACACTGGTCTCTGGTGCCCAAAAGGTTGGGGATGGCTGATTTAACCCAAAAAACAAGGACTCCAACCTTTGCTACCTCTTTTTGTACTAAAGGTCCTAACCAATGCAATGAAGCAGGAAAAGGAAATAAAAGTTAAAGATTAGAAAGGAAGAAATAAAATTGTCATTACTCATGGATGATGTAGTTGTCTATGTAGAAAATCCTAAATAATTCATAGATAATCATTAGAATAAGTTATTAACAAAGTTTTTCTATTCAAGATTAATATACAAAATTAATTTTACTACAATAGAATAGCAACAAACAGGAACATAAATGTTTTAAAAGTTATAATTTACAAAGCATAAAAACCAAACACCTTGAAATCATTCTAACAAAATATGTATAAGACCTGTAGGCAGACAACTATAAACTCTAATTGAGAGCAATCAAAGAATACCTAAATAAATGGAGGAATATACCATGTTCATAAATTGGAAGACTCAATATTACAAATAAGCTGTCTTTCCAAAATGATCTATAGATGCAATGCAATTCCAATCAAAATCCTAGTTTATGGAAACTGACAAGCTGATTCTCAGGTTTATACAGAAAAATTCAAGAAGATCCAATAATCTGTTCAACAAAGTGAGAAGACCTGTACCATCAAATATGAAGACTTACTATAAAGCTATTTTAATTAAGACAATGCCACATTGCACAAAGACAGATAAGTCAATGGTACAGAATAGAGAACCCACAAACATACCCATGCATATGTGGGCACGTGTTCCATGACAGAAGTAGCATCACATGAGCAATGAGTAAAGAATAGACTTTTCAGTAAATTGTGCTGGAACGACTTGATAGTCATATGAAAAAAAATTTAATTTGACCCTTAACTTGTGCTATCGATCAAAAGAGTTATATACAAAAAAAAAAAAAAAAAGGCAGGATAAGAATAGACTTTTCAGTAAATTGTGCTGGAACGACTTGATAGTCATATGAAAAAAAATTTAATTTGACCCTTAACTTGTGCTATCGATCAAAAGAGTTATATACAAAAAAAAAAAAAAAAGGGTGGATGAATTTCACAAACATAAATATGAGGAAAAGAATATAGCATATAGATTCTATTCACATAAAGTTAAAACTAAACCATAGTGTAAAAAGTCAGGATATGGTTAATTTGGGGAGAAGAAAGTGTTAGTATTTGGGATGGGGCACAAGAGCAGTTTCTAGAGAGATGAGAATTATTTCACTTCTTGAGGGAGAGGGGTTCTAGCTGTGTTTGTGATAATTCACTGACATGTGTATTTACATGTTGTACACTTCTCTTTATTTGTATCACTCTTCCCAATAAAAAATTTCTAAAAAATTAGATAGCCATATTCATTCATTCATTAAATTCAACAAATATTTAATGAGGAATCACTACATATCAGGCATTTTACTAGATCTGGGCCATCAGAATGAATAAATACAGGCATTGCTCTCTGTTCTGGTGGAACTTGCACTCTGAAAGGAGACAAACACTATAAATGTACACAATCACTTAAACAGATAAATGTATACAATCACTTAATGAGATAAGTGCTCTGATGCCCTTAGCTTGCTACAAAAGAGGTCTTTTTCTTTATTGGGGGTAAGGGTGATGAAGATAGACATTAGATCCTTCATTGGACTGAATTATTAAAATAATTCAGAAGTGTTCTGCCCACCTCTCAAAAGTTGCTGTTAATCCTTTTGTATATAATAAATGGTCCCAATGTAATTTTAGATCTACTCTTAGTTACCTGTAGGAATCCTATCTGCTTACCCAAGGCAAATCTTCGCTTTGAAAGTCATGACACCAGCTCCTAAGAAAACCAAGAGAATTCTGTTATTAAATTGCAGTTAATTTTGGAGCTATTACTCTGAAATAAAAAAGTGCTTTTGAAGTCCTAATTCAAAAAGCACTGAGTTTTAAAATAAGATTTTCTTGATTGTAAAATAATCACATGCTCAATGTAGAACGTCTGGGAAATCAGAAAATTACAAAGAAAACAAAAATCCATAATTCTATCACCATAGCTACTGTAAATGTTTTGGTGCATTTCTTTCCATTTTTAAAAAGGCCTTTATGTATTTATTTTCACAGTTGAGATCAGAATTACTATGTAATTTTGCACCCTGAGTTTTCCATTTAAAAATATAATGGGCGTTTTCCCAGGTCATTACATAATCTCCCTAAACATTATTCTTAAATTTGTAAAAATTCTATCTCCAACTTAAATGATCTCAGAGAGAGGTCATTCATCATGTGTAGTAGTCAATCCATCCAGGGGTCCCAAAGTTCTGAGAGCCGTCCAAAACTTAGCTAAAGGCTCTGATGCAATACTGGGACCTGGCAGCCAAGGCTGAGGCTACTCCGAGGACAACTGAGGTCACAGACGGGGACGCATCCGCAGAGTCCCCTGCCCAGAGGCGCGCTAATTGCCACGCGAACTCGGAGCCTTGGGAGCACTTAACTTTCCATCGGACTTAACAAGCACCTAAGTAAAGTGGTAAGTTCCTGGAGACGCCCCGCGCGCACCCTTCCGCTCTTGGGCTCCCGACCGCGCCTGCCTCTCCGGGGCGCCGCGTCGGAGCAACCCTGGCTCGCTCCAAGCCCAGCGCCCAGCGCTCCCACCCCAGGCACCGACCCGGCTGCGCCCTCTGCAGCGCGCCTCTCCGAGCCCCTAGTTCGTTCACCGGGCTGAACTTGGGAGGAGCGCGCCGCGGGTTCCGGCCGCATCCCGACCCGCCCGTCCTTATCCCCTCCCCCCCCCCGGCCGGGAGCGCGCAGGCGCGGCGTGCGGGCAGTCCCGCCACGGCCCCGAAGCGCTGCCGCCGCCGCCGCTCTGCCGCCGCTCGCCATGGGTCCGCGGCCCCGACTGCTGCTGCCTCTCGTGCTTTGCGTGGGGCTCGGCGCGCTCGTGCCTTCTGCGAGGGCCTCGGGCGTCCGAAAGCGAGGCCCCTCGGTGACAGCCAAGGTGACCGAGTGGCGGGCTGCGACTTCCTCTCGTGCGGGCCAGGGGGTTGGGGGAGCTTTGGGACTGGGACCTCCGTGTCAGGTGGCAAGGAGGGGGCCGGGGACAGGAGGTGGCGGCGGGGCCCGCCCGTGGTGGGAGGGTGACCTGGAGGCGCTGGCCCGAGTCCCAGCCCGCCCCCGCCGCCGGCTATTTGAACTTCATCTCCTGGGTCCGACGTGACGAGCCCGGGGGCTAGGAGAAGCTTCCGGAACCCGTGGGCCTTTTCTCCAGGAAGGAGACAGCCCAAGCACTTCCTTCGGCGTGGCGGGGACCCGGGAACAGAAGCAGGAAGAGTGAGGGGAGGACGGAGACGGGTAGAGGAGACGCGCTCCCAGCCCAGGGGTTGCAGCGGGACCCCCCGCTGTGGATGTCACCCAGCATGGAAGAGCCAAGTCCAGCCCCGGCCGCGCGCTGCCCCGGCACGCGTGACAAGCCGCGCTCAAGGGGAGGCTGTCCTCCTCTACTGAGGAATCCCTTCTCCCCGGGGAGGGGGACGTGCGCTTTTAGACTTCAGGGGCCGGTGGGCAAGCGCCGGGCCTCGGATGGTGCTGACAGGCTCCGGCGGCACATGTATAACTGAATGCCGGCCTTTAAATCTCGATTAAGGGGGGGAAAAATGCCGTGGAGTGTCTTTACAGCTTCAGTTCTTTTTTTCAGCGTATTTACCCAAGGTTCTAGAAGATAATGGCAGGGTGCAGAGGGAGAGAGACAGAGGGAGGGAAGGGGGAAGGAGGGAATGGATTTGGTGCCATTAATCACCACTTCTAGAAAAACTTAATTGGCAGTAGTGTCTTGGAATCTGGAAGGAGGGGCAGCTGCAAGTAGCCTTAACAACCAGTCCGGTGTTTGCCAGTGGAAATGATACTGCTAACTAGTAGAATGCTTCAATCTACCACAGACGCCATGGGAGGAAGAGGGATGATTAGGGGGTTGAGAAGGGGAGGCTCAGCCCAGCATCTAAGAGTGAACAGAAAGGCCGTGCCATGCTGCGTGTGTGACATAAACTTAGCCTGATTGTTTTGAGCACCGGTTCTACTCCCAGCCCCTTGATCTTTGGGGCTTATCTAGTTTAGAGAAATGGCATGTACAGGCCATAGAGCCGAAGGTGGGGAAAAGGTGCTCTTTCAGTCTGCAGATATATTTGGGTCTCTTAAGATACAGACATAAATTTAAATTTCATAGAATTATGAAATGATGAAGGAAATAAACCCTAATATGGATTGAATGACATTAAAAAAAACCCACAGAGTAAGAAAATCCAGCTTGGCAAAGACTTAGGGAGTCAAGGGAAGTGCATGCACGTTCAAAGTCCTCCAGACAGGGAAGCCATCTTCTGTTGTTAAGAGAATGGATTGCCTGGGACAGTGTGGCTTCAGTGCTAGTGTGAGAGGGGAGTGGCTTGAGATGAGGTTTGGAGCTGAACAGCAGCAAGATCTTGCAGGGCCTTGGAGGTCATAGTTAGGAGTGTGGGTTTTGAGGCAATTTTTCTTATAATTTGAGGTCTTATTCTAAGTGCCATCAGAGCCACTGAAGGGTTTAAGCACAGTTTGACATAATTTCATATATACTTTTAAACAATTACTGCGGTCTCTCAGTGGAGAGTGAACTGGGAGGTCATTCTGGGCTCTATGCCAGAGTCAGGATGGTGGTGGCTTGGATTAGGGTGGTAATGGTGGAAATGGGGAGCAAGGGAGGGACTTGAAATAGATTTTGGAGGTATGACAAGACTTGTTGACAGTTTAGATAGGGGGTGAGGGAAAGGAATTAGGCTTGCCAGATAAAATACAGGATGCCCCATTAGATGTGAATTTCAGATCAACAATGAATAATTTCTTAGTTGTGAGGACATCACCTGCAATATTTGGCAACAAGCTTCACCTGTGAAGTTTTACACCTACCAATGCAGGGACCCACCCCAGAGAAAGTCAGTCACAGTCTTGGGAACCTCTAGAAGTGGGAGTCAGGAGAGCAGGAAGCTGGTGGCTGCAGGAGGGGAAAAGTGGAGAGCATTTTAGCCCCTAGTTTAGGGTGCTGTCACTGAGGAAGTTTTCATGCACTCTACTCTAGGACTGTGTAGAGGAGTCTGCTACAAATTCAACTCTGATGTATTAATTACTTTTTTTTGTGTGGACTTTTTAAAACATCTTTTGGAAAATGGAGACATTAAAACTTACTTCTCTGAGTGAGGAAATGTAGATTAATTGGCCGCTGCTCTGGTGTTTTATTTTCCCCACCAGTCTTTTCCTTTTCCTCTGATTTTGTTTAAAGATAGGAATCTGTAAATGAAATTGGTGTGAGGTGCCTCCCTGCAGGGCCCTTTAATGGCAGTCACCTCGTCCACGAATCCTGCTGCCAGGCCATTGCCTCCGCTTCCTGCCCAGCCAGAAAGGCTCAGATCGAGGCTCTGGCACACTGGTCTCAAAATCCACTGAACTGGCATTTGCAGCCCTGCGTTTTCCAGCAGTCATGGGTTCTGCGTAGTCAGGCACCTAGAGTGTGAAAAATAATGCTACCATCTGCACTCCAGTTGCACTCTTGTCACATTTTGCTGGGACTTTCTGCACCATGGAGTGGCCATGGGACTAAGGCTGGGTGGTATTGGGCAAGTTATCTCATATCTGAGGCTCTAGTCCCTTCACTGTAAAATGGAGATGTAAATAATACCTGCCTGCCAGTGTTGATATTAGATGTGATAAAACAGGTAAAGTGCTTAGCTCAGATTTAAGTTCCTCATTTAAGAGGTCAGTTGTTAGTGTTATTTGTGTTATCAATCCTACCTACTGTAGCAGTGCAGCCCTGAAAGAGATCATCATGTGTTTTACAGATGAGGAACAAGAGCTCAGAGTTTAATTAACTTGCCCAAGGTCCTGTGGCCAGTTAGTGGGGGAGCTGGGTTTGAGAACAGTTTCCTTGACATCACAGCTCATATACTTGGTTTATTCTCTAGTTACTCTAAAAATGGAAACAGGATTAACCCTCAGGGGTTGAGCTAGGCTATGTGAATGCCTCTTCCCTCTTCCCTTGCCTCTCCCCACCTCCATAATTTTCAGATGACTTTCAAGGGCAGCTTTGAGGGAAAAGAGAAGTGACTGAGGTGCCTACTCCTGAAGTGCAACATGGAATCAAAGAGCCACCTTTTCCAGGAAGCCCACCCTGATCGCTACAGATAATCACTACCTCTAACCCTGACATTTTATCTGTACTTGTCCTCTCATAAAACCCGATTTCCCATTGTATTACAGCTACTTTATATGTGTTTTCTGTGGGACTATAAACTACATGAGGGTAGGGGCTTTGCAGCCTCCTCCCCCGCATCCCCGTTGATCACAGGGCCTCTTCCCAAGGGCACACAGCGAAGATCTCAGGGCGAGAGGGTGTAAAGTGAGAGTTTGCCTGGCAGCCATGTTGGGCCCACCTCCACTCTGTCTAGGTGTGTGTATTCTGGTCCTTTAGTATCTCCTAACATCGAGACATTTAGCATTTTTTTGAGCCTGTGTTTGAGCTGACACTGTGAGTGTGCTGTGCACGGGGGATCTAAAAATACCGTTTCTACCCCTTTGGGGTTCCTTGCCTAGACTGAGAGAGCCATAATAATGTAATTCGCAGTCTAATCAGATGCAGCTTTAAAATGAAATTTCAGCTTTCACTCTCCTGGTTGGGAAGTCTTGGTAAATCACTTAACCTCCTTAATTCTCACTTTTCTCATATGTAAACTGGTGGGCCTAGTACCCTCTTCCCAAGGATGTGGTAAGGATTAATTATATAACATATGTAGGTAAAGCACATTGAGACACCACAGACTAGGTCATGTTTGTTTCTTTCCCTCTTTCTTCCTCCTTTCCCTCCACTAGTTTCTCCATTATTTAAATGCCTCTCTCCTCAACTCCATCCTTACGTTCCCTTAGCCATCACCCCAGTGCTGACCCTATTACCTCATTCTTGAACTGGTCTAAGAGCATCCAGATTCTCCTCCCCCCACCCACACCTGAGTAAGATTCCCAAAGTCTCCCTTGCGTCCTGTTTTTTACCTTTTCTCGGTTGCCTCACAAAACTAGGATCTCTTAGCCGGCATCCTTCTTCTGCCTTATGGAACTGGTGAGAGTCTCCCCTCCTAGCCAGTATGGACTGTGTTGCTTTTCTGAACACTGACCACATTTCCTGCCTTGGTGCTTTGGTTCCGGAAAGAAATGTGCCAGGTGGGGCTCGTCCCATTCTTGTCCCTGGAGGCCACTCCATTCCTTCCGGGGCTGCCTCCGTCTACACCTTTTCCATGATGCCTGCCTGCAGCCCATGTCATTCCTCCCAGCCTGGGGACACAGTGTTCTTGGGCACTTGTCCTGTGCTGCCGTGTACTGTGGTTCCTTTGCTTGTCCTATCTCGATTAAGCTACCTTAGGACAGGGACTCTCTCGTGTATCTTGTAACTTCACATTGCCTTTTACATAGATCTTTGAGAAATGCTTATTGACAAAATAAGATTTGATTTTATCATTTCCATTAGAGTTGGGAAAATTCTAAATTTTCTTGCCATCACTCATGAAGTTGAAGGATGCTGCAGTTCAGAAAACAAACAAAAACATTACTATGTGTGCTAGGCCACGTGTAAGAAAATAAATTTTTATGGAAGAGTTATTCTGGCTGACAGGCACTTCTCTTCATGTTCCCATGCTGCTCTCCCAGATTTTATTCTCTTTGTTTTCTAAACATTCACAGGCTTTATTTGCTCTTCTTTAAAAGTCTGGCAAGGTTTTCTAGAGTCTTATATTGGCATTTCTTTAAAATTACGTCCCTGATTCTTTTCCCAGTGCCGCTTCATTATTGCCTGTTATAGAATTTACTCCTTGGCCTGGAAATCTTTATGGAGAAACCAGCTCCGTGGGCCCAGAATCACGTACTTCTTAATGCAGCCACATCACATCGCCCTCGTCCACTACGTCGCCTCATTCCAAAGTCTTCCATGCATTCTCTAAAGTTCTATATAAATAATAATTTGGTTTTTGCTGCTTCGGTCGTGGAAAAGTTATAAAATGCCACTTGGAACCCTAAATATCACATCACCTTGTGACAGATGTAGTGATGTATTGGCAGAAGCTTTTATCTTGAACTGAAGCTTGACAGTCTTTACTTTGTGATTTTTCTAAACTGTAAGACATCCTTTTTCTTTGACAACCCTTCTTATATTTTTTAAAGCCATCTCTTGAATGTCTTTTTTTACCCATTCAAACAGCAAATTGGTTCATATAATCTAAACTCACTAATAGAATGAACTTCGACTCCATGGCCTTTTCAAGCATTGTCTCAGATTCATCTTCACACAGCGATTTGTGAAGCAAAATGTGTATAATTTCATTTTAGGTGAAACATTAAAAAAAACTCCAAGAGAGTTTTTAAGGTTTATCTGCAAAAAAGTGACTCACACTCACTTCTGGATATGTTTTCTTCTGTTCTAAACTGTTGTGACAGAAAAAGAACACATTCTGCTGTGTAATATGACGACCGAATTCAGCGTCTAAGTGTATAGGGTAAGTGGTCTTGTCAGGACTGGAGTGTAACGTTTGCAGTACTTTGGATGAGCCTGGGGACCTGGTGCATTACTGTGCTTGGGAGTGAGTGGCAGGCCTTTTGGAGGACTGTTGTGCCTTTCGATCATCTCTTGCAGTCCCCTTGACAGCAGATGACTATCGAGATCTCATTGGGAATTTAGCACTGTTGGAAGTTACAAAAAAATATATCTGGGTGGTTAGCCTATTTCTCTCCTCTCCAGTTGTTTCCTCCTGCCAAGATGTTTTTGAGCAACAGTTTCCAATTTAACCTTTACCCACAAAGCTGAGAAAAGGGAAGTAGTCACAGTATTTATCTGGAGTAGAACTCTGGAAGACTTTACAGGCTGACTCTGACAGTATTAATCAAACTTTAAACCCAGTACCTACCACAGTGCCTGCCCCATAGGTGGTGCTCAATAAATGTTGGTTGAATGAATATTTGTGAGTGAAATGAAACCATAAATGTTTTAGAGTTCCTTTAACTTAGTTCATACTCCTTCAGAACCCCTCTGTAAAATACTGGTGGGCAGGGCTTTCATAGGTGGATCAATTCTCAGATTTTAACTTTCACTTAACCTTGTATGTGTGGCTGTTCCACATTATAACCTTCCACTCTGCCTTTCAACCACATGCAGGTTTTCTTTGATGTGAAGATTGGAGACAAAGATGTTGGCAGAATTGTGATTGGCCTCTTTGGAAAAGTTGTGCCCAAGACTGTGGAAAATTTTATCGCTCTGGCAACAGGAGAGGTATGTCTTGGTTTTATTTCCTTTGTACACAAATTGGATCTTCCTTCTTTTAAGTCAAGATTAAAGATGTTTTCTGGGAAACTAAGTATTAAATTAGGTCCCATCTTATAATATTTTACTTCATTTTCCTATAAAAGCTATTCTTCAGGCACTCAGTGTCCTCAGCCTTCTAGAAGTCGAGGGGGAAACAATCACCAAGGAAAATGCAAATTGCTGTCTTTTTACTTATTCACATTAATACTTTACTTTCATAGTTTGTTTACTTAATTATTGATTTGGTCAGTTAATGATAAACTATCAGTAAATCATCGCAGGAACCTAATCAAGTCCTGTAGATATTTTGTATAATTTTCTCATTTTGTCATTTCCAGATAAACACTGGGGTTTATCTTTCAGTATGGGTTAAATCTCCTTGTATATTCAATTGACATAATCTCTTTAGAAAGGATATGGATATAAAGGAAGCAAATTTCATCGCGTCATCAAAGATTTCATGATTCAAGGAGGAGACTTCACCAATGGAGATGGCACTGGCGGTAACACTGTCTTTTGCATTTTTCCTTTCCCTCCTACCAAATCGAAACCTAAAGTTAAGACAGTATATTCACCCACTATATTGAATTCCCAGATTGAAGGAACAAAGTCACAAAGACCACCAAACTAATTCTTTAGGAAGGATAGAGTTTTGGGGCCAAATCTTAGTAGGTATGAATGAGTGAGGCTTCCTAATTTTATTTTATTTTTTAAATTTATTTTTATTTATTTTTTATTTGTTTTGGCTTCCTAATTTTAAACAGTATTGTTTTGGTGTTCATTGTCTTTCCAAAGTGGAAATATATTCATTTAGTAGAAGATTTTAGTTATTAAAATGCTAGACGACTAGCATGTAGCAGTACAGAAATATGTCATAGGAAGGAAAAGCAGAGTATAACACTGTGTCCACTGTCCACTGGGATGGCAGCTAGCTACAATGTGGATGTTGGTGGAGGAGTAATGTAGTGAGTTTTTTTTCCCTGAATACATGTGGCATATATAACTTCATAGAATTTAAATTTCAGGTTATGATTTTTAATTTAGCAAATGCCAGTTTTGGTGGATATTAAATTGCCAACTTTTTAAAGAAACAGGCTATTTTCAAGCACTATAGCTAATTTTGTTTATTGCCATGGTTTATTTATAACAAAATGACTACCATTAAATGCTTAGATTTTCCAGGCACTTTAGGAAGATTATTTTTAGTCCTTGCAAAAATACTGCAAGGTATGGGGATGTAGCATGGAGCAGGTTACTTGTGTTAATGAAGGTGGCGAGGATGCTCAGAGAAGCAACGCCAGCTGCTGCAGAGCTGGGTCTCCCTGGAAAAGCCTTGTTGCTTGAGGACTGGTTCCCTCAGGGCTGGCATCCTACTGTCCCATCCTGAGGCCCAGCAGAAGTGTGACTAAGCTTTACTGTGTGCTCTTTTCTACATTTCTCTCTCTGCCTTCCCTGCCCTGTGTGCGCACGCACGCATATGTGTGCACACATCTTAAGTTAAAACTCTCAGAGTTTTGGAGCTAGGACCTTGTGGATCACTTAATTTAGCCTAGATCCCTCTGTGGGCAGAGATTTCCTGCCAGGTCAGCTCATATGTCACTGACCAACCAGCTATAAATTACTTACCTTTAATAGTCACTTCTGGTCCTTCTAACCAAGCCAGGATTTAAAGGTTGGCAACAGCCCTGCAGAAGGGGGGTGAGTGGGGGGTAGTGGGCATGACAGGCACTCAAGGTGGTGGAAGATGGAGCATATACTTTTCATGGTCTGCACTGTTGTTTTATAGGGAAAATGTGTTCTGCTTTGCTAGAACTCCAGCCCACATGCCTGCTTTTGGTTCTTCTTTTCAAGTTGGACCACTGGGTGCTCCCAATTGCCATCACCCTCCATATCCTGATGAGCCATGACGTCATTGTGCCTAATGAGTTCCAGGCTGGCTGCTGCTGCTCTTAGTGCTGGGGCAGGAAAGAGCACTGGCTTTAGCATCAGAAAGTCAGATGGTCATGTTCTGTTCTGCTGTTTTCAAGTTTTGTAACCTCTATTTTTCCCACTGCAAAATGGGATTGAGACTACTTATTCTATAGGGTTGTTCTGAGAATTAGCTAAGGGTGTATATTATGTGTTTAGTGCACCTGGTTGGATGCTGAGGTAGAGGTGACCCAGGGCAGGTGCCCTGAACCTCAGGACAGAGATTGAGCCATGATGATGGCTCATGCACCTTTCCATCTGGCTTTACAATGCTATCCTGCCCTTTACTTCCTTCTCATTTCAGAGTGAATCACTGACCTGCTTGGTCAGGGTTTGGCCCTTGGTTTGAGGCCAGAGGGTATCCTACCATCTTGTGTCATATTTAAGGCTTTTGTTTGTATGTGTGTTTGTTTCAGTCCCTGGGGCCCTGTTGCCTTAAGGAGTGATGTTTTTGCTCTCCTTTACATCTCCTTATATTTTACCATCTTTCCTCCATTCCACACCTCTTATAGGGTCCTATTAACCTATTCTCCTAAAACCTTATGTTTCTCTTTGAAGAATTTACTTTCATATAACATGTGTTGATTCTCCTCTTTTTTACTTTGTCTCACCAGGTAGAAGCATTTATGGTGAGACATTTCCAGATGAGAACTTCAAACTGAAGCATTATGGCATTGGGTGGGTCAGCATGGCCAATGCTGGGCCTGACACCAATGGCTCCCAGTTCTTCATCACCTTGACCAGGCCCTCCTGGTTAGATGGCAAACATGTGGTATTTGGAAAAGTCCTCGATGGAATGGTAACTTGATATATTGTTTTTTTCCTTATTCAAAGATTTATATTTATAATGAGAGTTCTTTCAGTGATTCATTTTAATCTTAAAATGTGCTTGTTAGACATCCATCATATGCTGACTGGCCTCTTCAAAGGTGAATAAATTATATATGATATGGCATTTTAGAAGCATTGAGGCTGAAGCTGAGGACTTGACATGGAGCAGTTGAGTACTTAATTTATCTCACTACTTCATATAAATGGATACTCTTTTAAATGTAACCAAATAAAACCAGAGCCCTGTATGTGCATACAATGGAATATTATTCAGCCTCAAAAAGAAAGGAAATCCTGTCACATGCTACAACATCGATGAAACTTGAGGAAGTTAAGTGAAATAAGCCAGTCATAAAAAGACTTAAATGAGGTATCTAAGTAGTCAAATACATGGAGACGTAAAGTAGAATGTTGGTTGCCAGGGGTTAGGGGGAGGAGGAAACGGAGTTGGTGGTCAATGGGTATAAAGTTTCGGTTTTGCAAAATGAAAAAATCCAGTGTGTGTGTGTGTGTGTGTGTGTGTGGCCAGTTCTGGAGGTTAGTTGCACGACAGTGTGCATATATTTTACACTACTGAACTGTACTCTTAGAAATGGATAAGATGGTATATAATATGTGTTTCCTACCACAATTAAAAATCAAATATTAATAAAAAACTCAGAGCCCCGTGAAGTTCAGTCCAGACACAAATTACCTTCAAAGACACACAGTATAGCAACCAAAATTACTAAAGAGAATTCAAATTTATGCTGGCATGTCTCAAAAAATATCAAAGGAGTCCAGTTCATAATCCATAGGCACATTTCTTAAAATCCTCATTCTTTTCCACTTTTAATATTTCCCCTCCTTAGCAACTGTCCAGCTCTCTCGACTCCTGAACTGGCAATTGTAAGGTCTGCCCAACCCAACCCCGGACAATCTATGAGTCCCTTGCCCTCTTCTATATTTCATTTTGTTTGGTTTTCGTGTGAGTAGTTCTACCTTCCTCATCCAAACATAAATAAACCAATCTCATTCATTGCAATTATTTCACAACTTTCACCTGCTATTCTGAATCGACCCAACAGAAGCCCAGGAAATGAGCCGGCCCACTCAGAATCTCCCTCATAAGACAAGGAATTGTTCAATCTGAGCAGTCAAAGAAAGAATTCTTGTTAGCAAGTGGGATGGGAGGGAAATAGAGCAAATACTTAATATATCACTCTACATCCCATTACAATAAAGGGCATGCCTATATTCTCATGAGCCATAACTGTCCTCAAAAGAATCTATTCTCAATAACGAATGCCAGCCTTCCACAAGTCTCTTGTTGAACTTCGCTTTTGAAATGGGCTAAACACAGGCATGCATATATTAAACCAGTCTCAGTTTTTAACCACGGGGCCTAACCAGGTTCCACATAGTTTGAATGTAAACTGATTTATTTATTCATTCAATGACTGTTTTTTAATACAGCATTGTGCTAAGCTGTAAGAAAACTCAATAGTGTAAGCTTTGGGTTTTCTTCGGATTGTGGTTTTTCTTCTAGTCCTCTAGATCTTATGTCTTATTGCCCTAATTGACAGCACCCACTTCCTTGCACTCATTGGCACGCATCTTGGGAGACCTGCTGCCCGGTCTTAGAAGAACAGTCCTTAACATTTTACGGGTTACAAATTTCTCTGAAAAACTAGTGAAAACTATAGACATTCTCTCCCGAAAAGAAGAAAAAAGTGTATGTTTCATACTGTTTCAAGGAATTTAGAGAATCTCCTGAATTCTAACCCTTGATTCTCCTGAGATCACCTGGGTTCCTTTATTAGCACTACAGTTTTCTGGACCTCACTTCAGACTCAGAAGCAGAACCACCAAAGGTGGGCCCACAAATAAGCATTTTTAAATTGTGACAAAATATAACATAGAAATTTCCATTTTAACCATTAAATAAGCATTTATTAAAAGTGCCACAGGTAACTCAGATATGTAACCACTGCTTTAAGTAAGTACACATGTGCACAGACACAGTCTATTTAGAAATATATATTATTATTAGAAGAATGCTGGCTTTTTATCTTAAATCCATCTAAGTCAGCCAGAAGTTGGATTAGTTGACACCTTGTCCAAGGCACTCAGACACTCTGTTGCTACTTTTGTCTCAGTCCTGTTTGAGAAATCCACCACAAGCCGACTTTCCTAGTCTTTAGCCAGTCCTCCCTCCTTCAGTGTGACACATGAGGTGGTACATGGGCCTGTGAAGTCTTCTGGATAGAAAAAGGGGCTTTTACATCACTGTAAGGTGGCGGTTACATTAGTATTAGCCTCAGCATATAGATTAATGGCTTAGGTCAGTTTTAAAATGGGCACACCCAGAAGTAACTCCATTTCTAAATCTGCTTTCTGGCCTATTTTCTTTTGCCTAGACCTGTTACAGGGTGGAGCTGAAATTGACTCAAACTCCATATAAACTGTTATGTTAAGGTGTAACAAATGAGTAGAAATACCTTTTATTTGAAGTAGGCATTTATAAAAATATCTAATTTTTTTTTCCAGAATATAAACTGCTAATAAAAAGAAGGAAATACACATATGTTCTCTAATTAGCAAGGTAGTGGATAAATTTTATTCTGTTATGTATAAATTTCCTGACTATCCTAAGTTTTCTATAGTTAGCTTGGATGGTTTTTGTACTCATTAAGAAAAAAAAAAACTTACTTCCCACTTCCCAGACTTGGCATTGATTTCACCTTTTGATCGCCATAGTTGCTGGTCAGAAGTGAACTTTGGGTTTGCTTTTCTCTTACCAGACAGTGGTCCACTCTATAGAACTTCAGGCAACTGATGGGAATGACCGTCCACTCACTGACTGCTCCATTATCAACAGTGGCAAGATAGACGTGAAAACACCCTTCGTGGTTGAGGTCGCTGACTGGTGATGCAACTGGCAGAACACAAGGAACATACTCTGTCGGGGTGTGTGTGTGTCTCTTTTGATTCTTCAAAGTTATTGTTCTGCTTTGTATTTTTACTTTCTTCTGTTTCCCACCCCATATCACAGGAAAGTTATAAAAATCAATCTGAGTTTACTTGGCATAAACTCCAGTAAATCACTTGTTTAGGGACTCTGCACTTAAAAGATATATCCCCTTCCTTCGATGGTGCTATTTTTAAACTAGAAAACTTTGTACTACCTATTTTCTTTCGAAGAACACAATCATTATTTTGCTGAATTAATTGTGATTCCCCAAGTTAATGATGCTGAAGATTTGTCAGAAAAAGATGGGGACATGAAGTTTATTATTTTGTATTTAAACAGAAATTATTTTCAGGTAAAGGGATATTTGATTAGTACTATCTGTGTCATATGGAGCTTTACCTGATGAAAGGTGCTTTGGTGTTCACTATATTAAATACTTTTTACAGTGTGCAACTCTTTTGCAAGACTCTTTTTTAAATTTAAAGTTCTTTAGAAAATTAATGTACAAATATATATATACTCTATGTTAACAATGAAGAGATTAGAGAGAGTTCTGTAAATCTAAATATGAACACAGTTGGATAATTTGGGATGAGACTGTACATCCACATCCCAAATACTTGAGCTGATTATTCACTAATTTTCACTAAATGTAACATGCTTAGAAAGTTCTCTCGAGGCCAGATGTAATAAAAAGGAACCTTTTTTTAACTTACACAATAGGGATGAAGAGTCAGGCTGTACTTAAAACTAGATGGGAAAGTAAAATCTTGTTGGGGTCTTGTTGTAACATACCTGGCTGTGACAGTGTGTGCCTGATTTCTGTTCAAAGGGGAGTGGTATCTGTTAGAAAATGGCCCCACTGCTTCTCCCATGCAAGGAGGGTCCAAAAAAAAAAAAATTCCATCCCTTGAACTATATTCTAAGAAAATTGTGCTTCAACAAAGGATGAGATAAAATGAACATTTTTACCGTTGACTGAGGTGTTAATCACTATGACTCTCTTGGAGAGCAATTTGTTAATTTTTTGTCCAACAAAAATATAGTAAGAGCCTTTGCTATGCCAGGTACCAGTTTTGAGTTTGGGGGATCCAGCAATGGGCAGCAAGAAAAGGGCTTCATGGAGCTTACATTCTAGTAGTGAAGACAGAATAAGTAAGGAAAGGGTGATGACCACTATGAAGAAAATACGCCCATGTTTGCTGGGGAGGCCGCGAGGTGAGTACTCTTCAAGTGGCCAAGGAAGACCTCCTGAAGGGACATTCGAGCTGAGGCTTGAAAAAGAAAGAGCCGCACTGGTCAGGTGAGATCTGACATATTGGCCTTCCCGGCAGAGAAGAAAGAGAAAGGAGGGTCCTGAGGAGGAGAGGGCGCCAGGGCAGAAGACAAAGCCGGCATGCAGGAGCCTGAGAGGTCAGAGGAGTAAGGCTGAGACTGGGTCACTTTGGGTCTGGGGTGCCAGGGGAGAGTTCTTTTATTCACAGTATGGTGAGGAACTATCCATTTTAAGTTGGGGTCTGCATTTGAGAAAGATTATCTTGTCTCCTATGAGAATTTTCATAGGGGAACTAAAGTGCATATCAAGAAACTCGAAACATTCATATCCTTTAAGTCCCACCCTTGGGAATTTGCTTTAGAAAGTGATGTGAAATTTTAACGGGCATCACTGTTTTGGTCAGTCCGGCATCCAGTGCCTCGTGTTCTGGGGATGGCCACCCCACCCATTTTCTCTGGGGAATCACCATTCCCACCAGCATTTCTTGTCCTTAGGGTAGGCTGACCCTATGGATGGGTACATACCTGGTCTGACAGACTAACTCATTAACTCACTTGATAAATATGTACTGATTGCAGGATAGAGCTGCAGCGTCAGCCCTCGTGTTTCCCATGGAAGGAGGCAAATAATTCACACACCGCATGAACTTATGGCAGAGCATCGGGTAGTAATAAGCCTCTGAGGCGAAACAGAGCAGGGAGAGAGAATAGGAGAGTGATGAGCTCAGGGAAGTCCCTGAGTGTGAACCGAAGGAAGTGAGTGGGCAGCAAGCCCTAGAGACACTGGAGGGAGTGTGAGAGGCAGAGGGGACAAGAGCAGTGGCCCTGGGTGAAGGGCAGGCTGCTGGGTTCAAGGAACAGCAGAGTCCAGGTGTGCAGTTCCAGTGTGGTGGAGAGTGAGCCGGGAGAGGGAGCAGGGATGCCGTCTAGGCCACGTAGAACATGCCCTCTCCCTAGCCCTGGGGACTGACTCAGGGATAGGTGTTTGATCCCAATTGTGGGACTTCTGGAAATATTGGGAAAGAGCTGCTGTCTTTCTTCTGGGAGGATGTAAAGGAGCAGGCCTGAGAATAAAATCCACACAGAGGGAAGCTGGTCGGAGAGACAGAAAGATGGATTTCTGAAGACACCATTGAGCCCCGGAGTCCTGCCATGACTGAAACCAATCTCCACCCCTAGCTTTTTAGCTATGCAAGCTAATACATTTCCTTTTTTGCTTAAGCCAGGGTGAATTGATTTTTTGTGACTTGCAACCTAAAGTCTTTGTCTAATACATCAATATTGAAAAAGTTTTATGTATAAAGATGTGAACTGCAGAATTATTTATGATAGCAAAATATTGGAAGCAACTTGAATGTCCCAAAATGGTTATAAAACATACATCTCAGAATAGTATGCATTCATTGAGACTGATGCTATAGAACTTAAGTGTAATATGAGAAAATGGTTGTTTTCAAGAAAAAAAGTAGAAATTCTGTATGCAGCAAGATCTCAATTATGTAAATACATAATCAAAGCAAATGCAACAAAATGTAAATTGGTATAAAGCAAATGCAAATGGTGGGATTTTTTTTTTAACTCTTTCATATTTGTATTTTTTACTTTTTATCTGTCTCCCAATTTTTCTCTAGGGTACATTTCTTTTTAATAATTAGAAAAACTTATTTGAAAAAACTTTTTAAGATAACAGGGGAAGAAACTGGAAACAAATGACCTCTTAGACATACAAAGTGACTTACGTCTCAAACGTCAGAGAGCACGTCAGCTAGTGTTATCCACCATGCACAAGGACATGTACTTTACACCATATTTGCTATCTAGTTTTTTCATTAGTATGCACATATTGACATCTCTCTAGCGATTAAGCAAAAAGTAGTTCATTTACAAAGTGCTGAAATTCTGAGACCACTAGTGCACAGGTAGTAAGTTAGCAGGCTATCATACCAGATGACCAACAAGCTAACGACAGACTCCATGGTAAAGGCATTTTATTTCCTGTATACTGAGGGTCAGGCCTACACCAAACACATCAGCAAACTGATGACTATAAACTATTGCTTTGCAAAAAGCCTATGCTTTCTGCAAAAGTTTTTGAAATAAGCAGTTCACTATTTTGCCAATCGTGCTGCTAGGACGTATCTGTAGCGAAGGGCATGTATGGAAAAAGGGAAATTACACTGGCCACCACCACCACCATGCCCAAATTATTTCAATTTAGTTTTGAATCACTTTAATAAACAATTAAAAATATTTTGGTATCCTTAGCCATAAGATGTTTTATTTTAAATGCTATTTAGCAATTTTCTGGATCGTCAAAGAATTTAGTAAAACTTATCCTTGAGTTTAATTAGAATGACACTTTCAAAATTATTGTCCACTTCATTTCTAATGAATTCTTAGGTTTTGAACAGAACTCACCAACCTCATTTTTTAGTTCAGCCGTTTTGAGTTACATAAAGACAAAAACATGGCAAGGATTTTATAGCAGGAAAAGGATTTGTTTTTGTTTTTCAACATTCCTATAATTCAGACAGCTGAAGAAATCTTTGATCTGGAAGGCTTGGAAATTCAAAGCCCCCTGAAGGCACTTTTTTTTTTTTTCTTTAATTAAGAGAGAGTAAAAACAGTATTTGTAATGGAAAATTTTGGTGCTGTTAAGTACATAATGGCTTTTACTTAAGTCTGTAATTCATCTTGTGAATTTAAGATTTTGGCTAACCTGTAGGTCTTAGGTACGATATAACATAACCTACTTCGAGTTTTGCTAGGGTTGCTGATATTCTAGAGCAATGGAAAAACAACTGGTATTAATGCAGAAATAGAGTGACTAGTCATAGGAGTACTGTCTGGGAAAAAAAAAAAGGTCCATCTGACAAATATTAAGAGTCAAAACAAAATGCATTGCAAAATCCACAAATAGGGTTTTAATTCCATCGCTAGTTCCATCAGAACGCTCAGGAGTCACAAATTTGGAGGGTTTGGCAAGCACTCAACACTCAACATGCCAATATCCTTTCTGCTGCCTACTTTTGAAGTTTAATTAGGAGTCATATAAGTTTCCACACCCATTAATTTTTCAGAGGGTGTGAAGGACTTTCTTCCTGAAGCACACTAGGCCTTTAAAGTGCTATTAAAACTACAGTCACCGTCTGTCCTAGGTGGTAAATATTACATCCAGTCATTTGGATAGATCTTTCAATTTGAAAACTTGAACATTTTTCTTCCAATCTGGACATTAAAGACAGGTGTGCTTCCTGTGCCTCCAGGACCTACACTGTGACAGAATGCCATGAGGAAGGGAATAAGGCTGCTCAGCCTGGAGCAGAAAACTCAGGGCTTGATTTAAGCCCATCATCCTGGAAGTACAGCTCTCTTGTAAAGACCCTGGAACTTTTGGTTTGGCCTAAGCCTTGTACCAACTGCTCTCTCTGCTTTGCAAGCCTACCCCACCCCTTCTGCTCCCAGCCATCCTTCAGGACTCAGAACATGGGTTCCCTCAGCACGCCTCACTGGAAACTTCTCACACATTCTGCTTCCTGGGTGTCTCCTGTCCCCTCCTTGGAGAGGAAGCGCCTGTAGGTCAAGGATTAGATCTTATTTCTAATCTACCCTGAGACAGTGTTTCACACATAATTGCTGCTCAACAATTATGTTTGGGATCAATTACCAAAAAGAATATGGCTACATTCATAGTATGAGGTACTTAAAATCTCTTAGGACTATAAAGATGGTTTAAAGATGGTTAAACATTGGCATTTGTCTTTCAACTATTTCTACTCTTTTCGAACACTGTTTCCTTTAAAAAAAAAAAAAAACTTTTCTTCTTCATTTTATGAGTTGAAGTTTGAAGGTCATGATGGAAGCAGATTGGCAAAAATGGGGTGAGTGGCAAACAGGAAAGCCCCAGGTGGTGGTGAGCCTTAAGTGACACTCTGTAGTGGATGGTAGCTGGCTTTGGTGTCATGCCTTGGTTGTGTGGCCCGCTGCTGGCAGTTGGTGGAGGCCCAGCCCTGAGCTGAACAGTTGAGCTTTGACCTGAGAAGTGATGAGACACCACTTTTTCTTGTGTTAGGTACTGTGGAAGTCATGGCGACCACTTTGGAAATCCTTACATTCGAATCTCCTTTTGTGGGGTGATTTCTGTGGCCTTCCTGGGACTCAATGAAAAAA